TCGCTCTGTTAGTACGTCATATGCTTCGTTGATCTGATTGGTTTATTTGGCCCGTCTATCACCAACATAGGCCAATCGGCTAACCAGTATTTTCGGCCCTTCCCAAAATGACTTCAACGGAAGGTTTCTGGCAGTTTCTGGCGGAGTCAGGTTAAAGCGAAACATCTTCAAACTTGGAAACAAAGTCCAGTGGATCGTTTTAACTTTTTTTGGAATTAGTTGGACTTTAAGTGTTTTTAGAGAGATTTGAAAGGATTGGTTCCAATGCTGCCGTTAAACAGAGCCGCTTTCTTTCTGACCTCCTGCAGCAGTTCAGCGTGGACATCGCTCAGAACGCCTCCAGCGTCTGCCTGGCCCACCTCTTCACCTACCAGGACTTCGATGAGGGCACTCTGGGTCTGGCGTACGTGGCCCCAAACAAACCGGAGTTCGCCGGAGGTCTCTGCTCCAAAGGTAAGCGTTTGAGTTTCCTCCTAAGCTCTTTGAGTTTCAGCCTTGCTTTTTTTTTAAAGGAGTTCTGCCGTTCAGCTTCTGAAACAGCAGCTAGCAAACATGGAGCCATCTACCTGAACACGGGCCTGACCAGCACCAAGAACTACGGGAAGACCATCCTGACCAAGGTGGGCTCCTAGCATGGAGGCCATTCGTTAGAGAAAACACAGAGTTTTACCTTTTTGTCTGTATTTCGGACAGGAAGCGGACCTGGTGACGACTCACGAGCTGGGCCACAACTTCGGAGCAGAGCACGACCCGGATAACGTGCCGTACTGCGCTCCGCGGGAGGACCAGGGCGGGAAGTACGTCATGTACCCCATCGCTGTGAGCGGAGACCACGTCAACAACAAGGTGCTGGCACCGCTGCGTCGTCGCCACATTTTCTAAAACTAAAGGTTTCTAACACGGCCGGACGCTTTTGTTCTCTCAGCTCTTCTCCAACTGCAGCAAGCAGTCCATCGTGAAGCGCCTGCGCTCCAAAGCGCCGTCTTGCTTCAAGGAGAGGAACGTCAACGTGTGCGGGAACTCCCGGGTGGAGCAGGGCGAGCAGTGCGACCCAGGCCTGCTGCATTTCAACTCGGACCCCTGCTGCACCGAGGATTGCCGGCTGAGGGACGAGGCTCAGTGCAGGTCTGAGTCACTCTAGCTGGATGCTCCATTCGGGGCTCAGCGCTGCTCATCCGTTGTCTCTTTGCTCAGCGACAGGAACAGCGCCTGCTGTAAGGGCTGCAGGTTCCAGGCCAGAGGCGAGGTCTGCCAGGAGCCCATCGAGGCGACCTGTAAGGGCCACTCCTACTGCACAGGTCAGCTGATTCCATTTAGCCTCTGATAGTCGTTTTTATGCTCGTCTTGATGATAATCAAACAACGTTTTTTTGTTTTCCGACAGGAAACGGCAGCGAGTGCCCCCCGCCAGAGAACGCTCCGGATAAAACTGTGTGTTTGGATAACGGAGAATGCCGCGGCGGCGAGTGCGTTCCCTTCTGTCAGGTGGTTCTAAAGCTGGAGCCCTGCGCCTGCAACGGTACCGCTGCTGCGTTTCCATCAATAATTAAAAAGACGAGGGGGGGGGGGCAGCACTGTTCACTTTGGGACGTTTCTAACTGGTAGCAAAGGCAGGAAAACGGCTGCAAAAAAAATACAACTTTTTCCTTAAAGGAGAAAATTTCTGGAATGTTTTTAAATATTTATCCTTAAATACAAGCAGCAACATAGAAAACTAGACTGATGCTGAGGCATCATGTGGTTGATCCAAAGGTTACCCACATGCAGATAACAACAGGCTTAATTCGATTCAATTTAGTGTATTTC